TGGTATCAGGCACCAGAGTCCTTCCTTGAGGCCGTTGTTCTCCTGCAACTTTGTCAAGAGGTACTCAAACTGGTGTTTTGAGATCCTCAAAAGTGTCATCATTCCACCTGAGCATGATTTCGCACTCTGTTCCCGTCTTGAGGATGATTTGTTGTTTGGAGGAAAAAAATAAGAACCCCAAAAAAAAAAAAAAAAAAAAAAAAAAAAAAAAAAAAAAAAATTAATTAATAAAAAAATTTTTTTATGAAAAAAAAAAAAAAAAAAAAAAAAAAAAAAAAAAAAAAAAAAAAAAAAAAAAAAAAAAAAAAAAAAAAAAAAAAAAAAAAAAAAAAAAAAAAAAAAAAAAAAAAAAAAAAAAAAAAAAGGGGGAGGGGGGGGGATTTTTTTAAAAAAAAAAAAAAAAAAAAAAAACTTAAAAAAAAAAAAAAAAAAAAAAAAAAAAAAAAAAAAAAAAAAAAATTAAAAAAATATAAAAAAAAGTCTGTTAGTAAATTTAGGAAACAGTGACCAGTGACGTTTACGTAAGCAAAGGAACGTTCGCTTAAACAGCCGTTAAAACATTTGCATAGACTTACTATCAAATAAGCTGAAACATGAACTTACATTCTCTGCTTTCTATGTAATATATATTGTTGTGTAAGTATAGGAAACAATAATATATGTTTCAGATAAGCACTGTGTAATTATGTTGCCTTGTACTGTGGCAAGTAGGCCTGGATTAAAAAGGCTTTATGGAATAAATAATGAAATGAAAAGGCCAAATTGACTAAACTGAGATGTGGTTACTGTCAATGAGGGCCAAAGCATTACATTCACATCATTTTCTTACTTAAATCATTCAGTGAACCCTGTATGTACATGTATACTCAATCTGACCTGTGTATATATTCACATTTGCCTCTCTGTGTTTTGATTGTTGTCTTTGTTTATCTGTTGTCTCCATCTGTTCATACCTGGCCAAAAAAACAAATTCTGATCCACAACGACTTATAATTCCTTGCATTTATGATATTATATTATTACTTTAGCTCCGTTTTTTTTTTTGTGTGTTTTAGAGTTTCAATGTGCAAAACTCTTAATGCAAAAAGCAAAAATGGTGTGTAAATGTGTAAATCTACCAAAATCACATCTTCATTCCTTCAAATACAGTCACTTCATATTAGTTTAAGTACTTATTACGAAGCGTATAGATCACTGAAGTAATGCAACATGTGTTTTCAAGCATTGTGAGCAGCATTGCAACAACTGGATATAACTTCACAACCAGGTGTCCTACATTTTGGATTTATGGAAGCAGTAAAAAAAACATGAGAAATGCAAAATGTTGCAGTTTATTTGTTGTACTCACAATAAATTAAGGTTTAATGTAATACGCTGTCTGTGGCTGTCTGTATTAGAGATACAATGTAAATATCAAAGGTTTTGTGTCCTGAATAAAAGCTAATTTTGTGGTTACATCAACAGTAAATTGACACAGTGAAATCGCATCATAGGATGTACTGTCACACTGGAGACTTAATTATCTTTAGTTCAATACAGCATATTCATTCGTTGACGTGCTGATAGACTTAGTGTATGATATTTTACCTAATTTGATGCAGTTGTTTTTATGTTCTGTGCTTTGTGAGATTTGGAGACCAAATTTAAACCGTTATGAAAAGTTAACCAAAGAAAAAACAAAATACTGTATAGATAGATAGATAGATATACTTTATTGATCCCAAGCTGGGAAACTGTATAAAAACCCTACATATCCTCAGAATGCAACATATGCTTTCAGTTATTTTTAACTGTTTTTTTAATAAGGAAAGTGCACCCAGTCTTTAATCACCTGATCCACTCAGTGTGAGCCCTGCAGAGGAGCCCACAGTGAGCACCGACAGGTTCTTTATTCAGCTCATAACATCACTGACTGCTGCCCTCCAACATGTTTCAGCACCAACAGCGACTCTGAGTAAGTTCATTTACTTGTTTTATTCTTTATCTACCTTAAAACGCCTCTAATGTCAACAAAACGAACTTTCGACGGTGCAGCCATTTTATGTTGCGTAACTTAATTAGCGAGCTGAGGACATTAATGAGTCCGGGATATTTTTGCATGTTCGAGTGTTCTGATTCAAACTCTTTAAAATATTTCATTGCTTTCATTGTGCAGGTGGATAAAACGACTGAAAATGCACTGAACTGTGTTAAATGTGTAAAAATTTAGATGTGCTGTCGAGTTTAATTAACGACCCTGTTTGATGTAAAACTGAAACGCATAGCCTCTCTTTGAGTTTAGTCCTAATAAATGTATTTATTTAGTCAAATTATACAAATGTCACGAGAGAATAGGTCACAGACTGGAGTTCAGAGTAACTTAGCTCCACCTGAACATCAACAGTTGTTTGACAACCCAGCAATGTTCCTAAAATACATTTTAATACTTTATATTAATATTAAAATTATATTCTACCTCTGTTTGGATATTAACAAATTAAGTCTTTAACAAAACTGTCAATGTTTTAAATTAATTAATTAGTGAATTTGTTGATGAAACAGTAAAAGTCATAAAAACCGACCGTTAAATTGCAGTTGTTTAACGACGGCGCATGCGCAGTTCTCTGCTCAGCGTTCGCGTGCAGAAATGAGAACAATCGATATTTTCGTTAAAAACACGCCAATAGTCGATATTATTGTATTACAGATAGTTTTTGGAAACACTGATAATTATACTTTATTTTACATTGGCCGACTGTAATAAAGTTTAAAAATCTAGCGGCGTCCGAACTTGTAATGCATTATGGGAAGAAGAAACAAACTGCCGTTATAATGTCATTTAAAGCGAATTCACATCAAATATTTCCAACTGATTATTATTAAATATTTCTAAAAGATAATTCTGTCCAAAGTGCTTCCTGCTTCGTCAGTTGAGATAGTGTAACGTTAGTTGTCAACAGCACCGTCAGTCAGTGTGGTGTGTCTTGTGTTTTACTCTCAGAGAGGACTTTTATAGGATTTAAACTTTATTTTATCGCTGTATGATTCATATGATGTTAGTTTGATTTAAAATAGAAGTTACAGCTCTCTTTCTGACAATAACACAGCGGAACGTTTCCACTTCCTATTGGACCACATTGTGTCACATGACCCGGAAGCGCTGTGAATCGCGGTTGCTCCGACAACCGTATTTTGTTAAACTTCCACATTTGACGCTGATTTGTCCCCTTTTACTGATTGACTGTGTGTTCTATATCTATATTAATATCTCTATCTAACACACAGTGAATCATATATCTATCTGTTAGTGAAGCATTCATTAACACCGTCAGTGAGGGTCCCGGTGCGGAGAAAGAGCTCCGTACCTCCGACTGTAGTTCAGTATCGCTTCTCGGCCTTTTGGCTAAGATCAAGTGTAGTATCTGTTCTTATCAGTTTAATATCTGATACGTCCCCTACCCGGGGACCATATATTAAATTGATTTTTGGAACTGGGAGATGGAATAGGGGCTTGCTCCGTCCACTCCACGCATCGACCTGGTATTGCAGTACTTCCAGGACCGGTGCACCCCCCTCTGATTGTCTAACATCAATAATCGATATTATAAAGGTTGTAGTGAGTTAATAGTAGAGTAGTATCTTGTACAGACTCTGTATGTTGTTGTTAGATTAAACGTTTTAAGAGCATGAGGCTGCAGAGTGGAGACATATTGTTTGCAACTGTTCAGTTAAATGAACAATAAACTTTTGAGTGAGACAAAGAGATTGTAAATGTAAATGTGTTGTGTTCACTGTCCTTTACACATTGAACAGAAATGTTCAAATATACATTTATTAAGTCCTCATACCGACTGACTGCATTCACTTTAGTTTACAGAGGTTTGCTTGTTTCAATTCATTTATTGAAATGTTATTGAAATAGTTTAGTTTTTATTAGTTTCAGTATTAGCTTTAGTTTTTTTTAAACTATAATATAAGTTAGAATATATTACAATACAAACACAACACTTTGTGAACACAGTCATGTAGACATCCCATTATCAATAAACAGGCACCAACGCCTCTTTATGCTCGTTGTGTTGTCAAATTTGACCAAATTGAGACAAAAAACTGAAAACATTTCCTACTTTTCTTTCAGATTTTGTAAGTACAAAAGGTTTTTTCAGTTCAAGTCTGATTTTATTTGAACTAACATATTGTTTCACAACTGGTTTTACTCTTAGTTTGATATAGATGTACAATAATTGGCGACATTATCTGGTCCACCTAGCTGACTCTCTGGGGCAGAAAGGGGTGCAGGTCAGAGTCCTGCAGGTCAGAGTCCTGCAAGCAGAGAAGGCGGTGGCTGAATACAACAATCTGGTTGTGCAGGCCGGGCGCCAAGGTGGGCCGGGCCTTCCACGGTACCTGCAGATGATGTGATCATTTGTTTTGTTTTCCACAGGAAGACGGTGGAAGGGGCTCCTATTTATAATATAGATACAAGTGCAGGCAAAATACAAACAACTTGGATCAAGACACATTTTAAGATTGATTGATTGTTTTTCAGCTTCTTAAATGTGAATATTTTCTGAATTCTTTAGTCCTCTACAGTTTACAGTGATCGTTACTCAAAATAAATAGTTTATTATTATTTTCAAAAGTAATTTTATTACTTTACTTATTCTTCCCTGCCTACAGTAATTAGTTACACTACTAGTTATTTTACTATTCTGCTCCCACAAAATTGGCCCCTTTCTCACCAAAATTCAGACTTAAGACAATTAAAATCCAGTTTAGTTTGTTAAAAATCAAAGTAATGTTAATGTTTACATCTTCCAAGCTCGTTTCCTCCACAATTACCAAAATGAATCCAAGGATGTGATTTGATTGTTGGATTTAAAATCAGTAAGGAGTGCCAACAAAAGTAATGTTGTAACTAATTATTGTTTGTGGTAATTGTAATATTACTGAAATGTATTAGTAATAAGTTACACTACTAGTTACTGAGGAAAGTAATGTTATTACTAGTAATACCTCACTGCGCAACACTAGTCCTCTATGACCATAAAGTAAATAGTTTTGGGTTGTGGACAAAAGTCAATTAATCAATTATTTGTCAACTATTACATTCAACAGGAACCAGTTCGATAATTGATTAATAGTTTTGATTTAGTTTTTATGTCCAAATTCTCTCACTTCAGTTAATGAGAGTAAAATAAATATCTTTAAATTTCGGACAAAACAAGACATTTGTGGACATATAAAGGATATTTTATGGATCAAACACCTAATCAATTAAATGAGAAAATGATCAGATTAATCAATAATAATAAAAAATAATAATCATTAGCAGTATCCAGTATTTTAATTTTAATAGATTTATTTTAGGGGTATTTTGTTTCAAGATACATTACGTAACCTCTGCACACGACCCTGAGCTACCTGGCGGTCTCACTGAGGGCCGTGTGCAGCTCATTTGCATAACACCACCTGGACGTCACGATGATGGACTAACAAGGACCTGGAGATGTACTTTTATCTGGATTTAAAGAAGTGTTTTGGGCGTCAGGACGTCTTCAGGGTATGTTGATATATTTTTTGGTCATGTTATGTGTCTCGTGTCAACAGAACAGAGCCTCTGCAGGAGTTTGGCGGTAGTTTGGTGGTGGTGACCCACTTGTTTTTAGCCTCAGGTGTTAATTTGGTTCAATTGGAAGTGGAAGAGCTTGTGCAAATGCAGTTAAATGATTAATGCGCACTTTATTATCGAGTATTTTAAGTGTTTTGGCTCAGTTGCATTTTAATTACAGATGAAAGCTCAATGGGGCCGCATCCCGTTTGGTTTTTTCTAGTAGTTAATGTCGCATTAAGGGCCTGGCTGCACTTTTACCTGGTTAGGAAAACTTAATACTGAATCGTATATGTCGTATACGGACAATAATGATGTATTTCAAGAGAATTTGAGTACTTTTAATAAAGCTTTTTAGTTAATTGGACGGGAAATATGCTTCACAGAGCTGCTGTTATCTGTACAACCCAATGGGGGGCGCTGCAGTCCAGCGGGTCGTCATTAAAACAACTGACGGAGATTAAAAACACATTATTTAGTTGTGTAAATTACATTGCACAGATTACACATAATATTAACGTAGCTGGAGAATTATTTTGGAGTTGGAGTCAACCAGAAATGTTTTAAATTGACCAATAAAAGCTGAGAAAATGCAGTTTAATACAACAATACTGTACTAAAAACCGGCTGGATGAAGGTTATAATGTTCGGTTAGTGTTGAAACAGTTTTAGAGAGGTGATTATTCAACTGTATGATCATTTTAGAGGCTGCAGTTTGTGTTGCTGTTGAACTTTATTGTTAAAATCCTGATTCACTCCAGACCAGCAGGTGGCAGTAACAGGACGGCCCCGTTGCCCGGGAGACAAAGAAACAGGAAGTGGTTGTAAAGTGTGGGAGAAAAAGTGTTTTTAGTGTTTTTAGTTGTTTTTTTCTGGATTGTAAATGTGGATCAAACAGCCTCTGATTGCAGTTTGATTCAGCTTTGTCTCACTTGAACTTGTTGTTGGACTGTTGTTCATTTGTTGGAGGTAAAATAGAAACAAACTGCTGATTTCAGGTTAGCTGTTGATGTGGGGATACAGCATTGCATTGTGGGAAATATAACCATTATATATCAAGTAAAATCTAAATAATCTTTATCAGCTTTAGTTGAAAACTGTATCTTCTGTATTATGTTCTGCAGTTTCACTCACCTTCTACATCCTCTGGTTTCAGTAATATATCGATTATTAGCACCATCAGTTAACACGGTGTGTCTGTGAGAGAGCTCCCTGTCTCTGAGCTGGACAACTCATACTTACCTGGCAGGGGAGATACCATGATCAAGAAGGTGGTTCACCTTGGGCGAGGCCTGACCATTGCACTCCGGTTGGGTTGACCTCAACGAATTCCCCAAATGTGGGAATCTCGACTGCATAATTTGTGGTAGTGGGGGACTGCGTTCGCGCTGACCCCTGATATACATGTTGAAAAGAAATCATTTATAAACCTTTAGACTCACACAGACTTTATTTATCATTTGGATTTGCATCAGAATGAAATTACGTTGCAGTGGCACATAGCACAACAGGATTAAAGGAGAGGCAGTATGCACAGGCTAAAATACAGATATGCAAATATAAAACTTTTGTATATTTTTATGTTTGAAGACAGAAAGTGCTCATAATCAATCAATGATCAAACTGATCACTATAAATTACAATCAATCAACACGACCAACTCTTATTTCTTACCTTGTTGTTCCAGCTTCCAAAAAATATGATAAAAGTTAAAATCTTATAGTTGTTCTTTTGCTGGGACCCCTACAGTCCACTCAAGCCCCTGACTGACACTAACCACTGACACTATTAACCAACACACACAGTGCTGACCCACTCAGGTTCCTGCACAGGAGATCCAGTTCACATTAAATGACTGACTGCTTGAACCAACAGCGACTCTGAGTAAGACAATGTGTTGTTTTATATCGTTTGTTTACTGTAAACACTCCTCAATGGTCAACAACATCAAACCTCGAGGGTGTGCGGCTTTATTCTGTCGTCTAATGACAGCTTGTATATATACTGCCACCACCGATAATGCACAGTTTATTCTGCTTTAAAATCTTTATAAAACTCCCATTCCTTTCACCAACCAGGTGTAAAGGGTTCAATGTAGTTCATATGGTGGAAGTCGAGTTTAATTAACGACCTTATTCTCCTTACAAATTCATTAGTTGAAGAGTTGAGTTCACAAGCTGCCACTCATACAAATTATATTTATTATATGTATTTATTATTTTGATAAATACAGATTACAGATAAAGTCACAAACAGTTCAGAGCAGATCGATCGAGTCTCCACCCGAACATGGAGCAGTTTGTAAATAAAAGTTAATTACATTATATTAATATTATAAACACATGTATATGTAAGTTAGGTATTCAACAAAACCCACATTTAATAAAAAGAATAAGTAATAAATAACAGTTTCCCTCCGTCACTTCAGAGCCAATCACAGCGCGAGTTAGTGAGACAACAGCACCGTCAGTCAGTGTGGTGTGTCTGTGAGAGAGCTCCCTGTCTCTGAGCTGGACAACTCATACTTACCTGGCAGGGGAGATACCATGATCAAGAAGGTGGTTCACCTTGGGCGAGGCCTGACCATTGCACTGGCTAGTGGACTGTGCAGTATGGACAGCAGCAGCAGCAGCAGCAGCCTGTTTAGAGCGGACAGCGGATGCAGGCAGTTTAGTCTGAACAGGGGTCTTGAGCAAGTCTAAAAAATAAGACCAAACAAAGTAGTATTATTTATGTTGTGATTTTTTTCCCCCAAACCATTTGATGTGTATTAACTCTGTATCTCACCTTCCACAGCCTGACTTGCAGCCACCAGTTCAGCTTCATCACCTGGCCATGATGAAGGATCACACTTGGAGGTGCTGGCATGCAGTTACTGGAATAAAAAAGGTAAATGAATTATCTAGATGTTATGACGTACCAGTTTTTAATTATCAAAAGTAAACAAGCACATTTAGGTCAAGTGCTTAAAATGTCACTAATCCGAACAATTTCAATCTGTTTATAACAAATAATCAAGCCAGTACTCACTTGATCTTTCTCGTTGACATATTTTCTGAATCTTTTCATCTGCGCGCTGGTGATGTGTGTCACTGGTGTGTTAAGCCATCTCCTTACAGAACTGTTTGCCTTCTTTATGAGCTCCCGCTGCTCATCTCTAAACTCCTCTGGCCTGTTCTTTATGGCGTGGTGCTGCCGGTAGAGTTCCCACATCTCCTGAAAGGTGTGATCCTCGAACCCTTTCTGGCCGTAGATACACCTGTCGACGTTGGCCTCGAGGAGACTGGAGACTTGTGGGAAGCTCTCCGCATATTCTGTGAGGTAATCTTTCACCCACTGGTTCCCAATCTCTCCCTTTCTCTGGGGGTTTGTTACCTCTAACCTGTGCTTGTCAATCACACTGTAAGGATAAACACCAACTCAGTACTGACATCAATATCATTGCAGTTGTGATAATGAGTAACTAAACTTTGAAAAGATGAATAATAAACACCAATAATAGCCACAGTTTGTGCAATTGTCTACAATGGTATTAAATATAACATGCTTACTACTTCATGTAGCCCACATCATTTGCCACAAGCCAGTGGAATGGTGCATTTTGGTATTGGCCAAATGGCACCACCAGCTTTCCCAGGCACAGCTGACGGGATGGCACAGGGATACCCTCGGCCTGAAGGAGCTTCTCTGTGTGGGCCAGGGCCGTTGCCTGGAAGAGCAGCTCCTGTGGAGGTTTGGGGAAGACCACCTTCTTATCCCGATAACTACGGGCCTCTCTGGTCGCCGTCAGTGCAGCCTGTTGGCGATGTGCAGGGGCTGCTGGGTTGACGACCCTGATCTGTGGTGGGGTCGCCATCTCTCTTCTGGAGATACTGAAATACACTTATAGATACAGCAAAGCAACAAAAACAACAACAAAGACAGACGTGTTATTATTGTTGTTGTTGTTGTTATATTATTTAAACCTGAAGAGTATTGCACAAAAGTAGAATAAAGAAATCCAGGATAATTGAGCAAGCGCTTCATATTTCACGGCCGCTGAACAACAGCTCCTGATGGAGTTCTATGAAGAGGTGGAAGATATAAGAAAAAAAGGCAATACCAATGCCATAATTAAAGAAAGAGAGAAAGCCTGGCAGACAATAGCGGACCGGCTTAATGCTTAAGTAGTCCAAAACTGTACAATGAATAAACAGTGCTCCACTGGAACTGTCATAATTAGGCTCCAATTAAAGGACTAAAGGAGTTACTTTAAGTCCACTAATCAACTGTTGTACACTTTGCTTTAAATGTGGCAAGTAGAGGTTCATGTTACTTAAATGTAGAGTATGATTAAGTGCAAACAATTATCCACAATGTGTGTCATTTAATCTATTTTTGTCATGTTACGTTTTTATCTATTTTATCTTTCTATCCTCCATAAAGAACAAACTTGTCTGGCCATAAAAGGACCTGGCAGCAAGTTAAAGTTAAATACAAGAACATTTTGCAGGCTGGTAAGTGACTTTAAAGTAGATAACAGTGAATAAATGAGGTGAATAGATTAGGTGTCTGCTCACATGTTGAATGTCTGTATGATTGTAGCAGTTAAAAAAAAAGACCATAGAACTGGCACAGGGGGCGGCCCACCAAGCCAGGATATGACCCCGGCGGAGGAGCTGGCACTCCATTTAAATAAAGGGAGGCCAGTGATGGAGGGAATCCAGGGAGGGACTGTAACGGACTCTATCCCAGCCACAGAAACTGTCCGCTTCATACAAGGTACATATTGCCATACTACAGCACACAGACCACAATCAAATAAATATATTATACTGTCTGTCTTTAGATTTCCTTGCAGTGTCTGGGAACACACTAACACTTTTGGAGCCACCAGAAGATGATCCAGTTAGTACATTGTATTGAAATAACAGGCTTGGTATGTCCTGTGAAATCTTAATTCAAGTTCTCTCAAATGTATGTATGTGATAGAGCTGGCAGACGTTAAAATAAAACTGAAGAAGAGAAAGCTCCAAGAAATGGAGCTGGATCTTGAAATTAAACGTCGGACACTCAGGAAACTGGACCTGGAAATCCAGAAACTAGAAAGAGAAGTGAGTATTTCAGTGCACACAGTAACCATAACTGCCGTACAGTGTTTTAATCTTTGTTGCTTTTGTTCTCTCTATTCCAGGATCCAAGCAACCAAGACAAACGAGGGCTGCCAAATAAAAATTCAACTAGAAAACATTGTGGTGTCGTCCGTTTTTCATGAATGTGAAGTAGAATTTAAAAGAACCACCAATGCTAAACAACACAGCAAAAAGTAACATTTAAGATCTTTTATTAACTAAAGAGGCTAAATCCAAAAATTAAGAGAAGAAATGTGCAATATATTGCTCCCTGACAAGTCTGCCATTAATGTTGTCTGGGAAGATGGGAGCATTTTCCCAGTCAACATGAACAGCCACTCGGGGGGGCCTCTCCTTTCTCAGGCCTGCAATGTTATGCAGTACTGCGCATGCAGCAATGACATCACAGGCCCTGTCCGGGGAAACTCTCAGGTGGTGCAGGCACTGAAACCGAGATTTCAGAAGGCCAGTTTATGTGTATGTTTAAAAGGGTGATTTAAAAAAAAAACTTGTCTTATTGTGTGCGTGGTTGTAGGCCTGCTGTGGTGGGGTTTGGGGGTCCGCTAGGGGAGTCAAGAGGAATGACTCGCAGGCGTAGCCTTTGTCTCCCAGCAGCACACCAGAGAATTCGCCTGATAATGCAAGATATCATTTAGAAAACTACACGGCAGAGTTAAACACACATGATGTCCAAGGTGCTTACAGCACAAATAAAATGTGTGGCTTACCTTGTGAAAGTCTCTCGTAAATTGGACTAGCCCGAAAGACTCTGGAGTCATGCACTGAGCCAGGCCACTTTGCCTCTAAATTGCTGACAAGGCAGTCAGCATCACATATCACCTGAAATGTTAAGTTGTAACCTATTAAGGTCTTTTAATGCACAGAATTAATTTATGCAGGTCATAGTAAGCACAAATCACTCTTACCTGAACATTGATGCTGTGGAAGGATTTCCTGTTAACGTAATCTCCCTCATGTTCTCCTGAGGGGCGTTTGATTCTGATGTGTGTGCAATCCACTGCACCAATGATGTTAGGGAAAGCTGTAACAAAAAATAGTGAGTATCCAACTGTGACTGATCAAATTAGAAACTAATGGTTGCACGTTTAAATTGAGCTTACCTGCAATCTTGTAAAACTCCTCCTGGATGTAGAGGGGTCTTCTGTGGCCAGGGAAGGTGATGAATATGTTGCTGAATGACTTCAGTGCCAGACAAACACGTCTTATTGTGCGGCAAATGGTTCCTTTATTGAGGTTCTCTGCATCCCCAACAGAATAAAGGAAGCTCCCACTTGCAAACCATCTCAATGTAACACAGACCATCTGTGGTACAGTGAGAGCATGGCTTCCTGCCGTCTGGTGCTGTATTTTTGGACCCAGCAGCCTACATAAATATCTCAGTCCATCACCTGAGAATCTGTATCTCTCAATGAGATAGTCATCTCCAACGGCCAATGGGTCTGACCTGTCCCAGAAGACTCTTTCATGACTAAATGCTCGTCTGAGGATTAGGGCTTCCTCATCCAGTACATCCTCCAAGAAAGGGCAAACCATTATGAAGAGGGAACAGATGAATGGGAGTTAGACCTATATATACTATATTGTCCTCGTCACAGATTTCATTGAAAACACCTTTGCAACTTCATCAGCTGTGTTTTGTAATCTCAATTACTGCAATAAACACATATTTATGCAGTTTGACAAGCAGTCTTCATTAGCATGGCAATATAACACTTGTCCTGAGTAATAATACTTCCACTTGAATCAATATAAAAAGACTGTTGCAATTACAAACAGCCAACAGATTTAAATGAAATAAGAAATGTAATATATATGTAATATTTGAATGCAGGATAATTAAAATGATGCAACATACTTAGAAAGACCTTGGACATGCTGTAAAACACATTAATTCCTCACAGGACTGACGGTGGAAATACAGGTGAATCACCTGGATTAATGTTAGCCTGGCTGTTAGTCTGGTCTGGAGCAGGCTAACTGCAGAGAATAAATCACCATAGTAACTTGGCCGGGATAAGTTTAACCTGCTTTCATGCAACCGACTTGAGGCTAAATCCAGCCAGGATAACCAACATATCCCGGGTTAATCCCTTATCCTGGTTTTGTGCAATACCCCTCTGTACTGTATGCTCTCCGGAGGAAAATACTAATCTGCATAAACTAACCGAGCGTAGACTCTGGGCCAATCAGAAGCCGTAACTGTCTACGGACAGTCACATGACGCCGGGAGACGATATGATTGGTAGTCTACGGTCAGAATTGACCAACCAGAAGGCGGAACCGTCTACGGTGAGCGTAGACTTTTGCATTGAGCCGCAGGGTGCAGTTCTCTCTGTTCTCCTTTAGAGGAAGTTAACAGATCAAACATTGTGTTTTACTCTCAGAGAGGACTTTTATAGGATTTAAACTTTATTATTATTATTATTATTGTATTTGTGTCGACTGTGTTCACGTTGTTCCGTCGGGCTGTGAACCGTCAGTGAGGGTCCCGGTGCGGAGAAAGAGCTCCGTACCTCCGACTGTAGTTCAGTATCGCTTCTCGGCCTTTTGGCTAAGATCAAGTGTAGTATCTGTTCTTATCAGTTTAATATCTGATACGTCCCCTACCCGGGGACCATATATTAAATTGATTTTTGGAACTGGGAGATGGAATAGGGGCTTGCTCCGTCCACTCCACGCATCGACCTGGTATTGCAGTACTTCCAGGACCGGTGCACCCCCCTCTGATTGTCTAACATCAATAATCGATATTATAAAGGTGGTAGTGAGTTAATAGTAGAGTAGTATCTTGTACAGACTCTGTATGTTGTTGTTAGATTAAACGTTTTAAGAGCATGAGGCTGCAGAGTGGAGACATATTGTTTGCAACTGTTCAGTTAAATGAACAATAAACTTTTGAGTGAGACAAAGAGATTGTAAATGTAAATGTGTTGTGTTCACTGTCCTTTACACATTGAACAGAAATGTTCAAATATACATTTATTAAGTCCTCATACCGACTGACTGCATTCACTTTAGTTTACAGAGGTTTGCTTGTTTCAATTCATTTATTGAAATGTTATTGAAATAGTTTAGTTTTTATTAGTTTCAGTATTAGCTTTAGTTTTTTTTAAACTATAATATAAGTTAGAATATATTACAATACAAACACAACACTTTGTGAACACAGTCATGTAGACATCCCATTATCAATAAACAGGCACCAACGCCTCTTTATGCTCGTTGTGTTGTCAAATTTGACCAAATTGAGACAAAAAACTGAAAACATTTCCTACTTTTCTTTCAGATTTTGTAAGTACAAAAGGTTTTTTCAGTTCAAGTCTGATTTTATTTGAACTAACATATTGTTTCACAACTGGTTTTACTCTTAGTTTGATATAGATGTACAATAATTGGCGACATTATCAGGTCCACCTAGCTGACTCTCTGGGGCAGAAAGGGGTGCAGGTCAGAGTCCTGCAGGTCAGAGTCCTGCAAGCAGAGAAGGCGGTGGCTGAATACAACAATCTGGTTGTGCAGGCCGGGCGCCAAGGTGGGCCGGGCCTTCCACGGTACCTGCAGATGATGTGATCATTTGTTTTGTTTTCCACAGGAAGACGGTGGAAGGGGCTCCTATTTATAATATAGATACAAGTGCAGGCAAAATACAAACAACTTGGATCAAGACACATTTTAAGATTGATTGATTGTTTTTCAGCTTCTTAAATGTGAATATTTTCTGAATTCTTTAGTCCTCTACAGTTTACAGTGATCGTTACTCAAAATAAATAGTTTATTATTATTTTCAAAAGTAATTTTATTACTTTACTTATTCTTCCCTGTCTACAGTAATTAGTTACACTACTAGTTATTTTACTATTCTGCTCCCACAAAATTGGCCCCTTTCTCACCAAAATTCAGACTTAAGACAATTAAAATCCAGTTTAGTTTGTTAAAAATCAAAGTAATGTTACTGTTTACATCTTCCAAGCTTGTTTCCTCCACAATTACCAAAATGAATCCAAGGATGTGATTTGATTGTTGGATTTAAAATCAGTAAGGAGTGCCAACAAAAGTAATGTTGTAACTAATTATTGTTTGTGGTAATTGTTAAATTACTGAAATGTATTAGTAATAAGTTACACTACTAGTTACTGGGGAAAGTAATGTTATTACTAGTAATACCTCACTGCGCAACACTAGTCCTCTATGACCATAAAGTAAATAGTTTTGGGTTGTGGACAAAAGTCAATTAATCAATTATTTGTCAACTATTACATTCAACAGGAACCAGTTCGATAATTGATTAATAGTTTTGATTTAGTTTTGATGTCCAAATTCTCTCACTTCAGTTAATGAGAGTAAAATAAATATCTTTAAATTTCGGACAAAACAAGACATTTGTGGACATATAAAGGATATTTTATGGATCAAACACCTAATCAATTAAATGAGAAAATGATCAGATTAATCAATAATAATAAAAAATAATCATTAGCAGTATCCAGTATTTTAATTTTAATAGATTTATTTTAGGGGTATTTTGTTTCAAGATACATTACGTAACCTCTGCACACGACCCTGAGCTACCTGGCGGTCTCACTGAGGGCCGTGTGCAGCTCATTTGCATAACACCACCTGGACGTCACGATGATGGACTAACAAGGACCTGGAGATGTACTTTTATCTGGATTTAAAGAAGTGTTTTGGGCGTCAGGACGTCTTCAGGGTATGTTGATATATTTTTTGGTCATGTTATGTGTCTCGTGTCAACAGAACAGAGCCTCTGCAGGAGTTTGGCGGTAGTTTGGTGGTGGTGACCCACTTGTTTTTAGCCTCAGGTGTTCATTTGGTTCAATTGGAAGTGGAAGAGCTTGTGCAAATGCAGTTAAATGATTAATGCGCACTTTATTATCGAGTATTTTAAGTGTTTTGGCTCAGTTGCATTTTAATTACAGATGAAAGCTCAATGGGGCCGCATCCCGTTTGGTTTTTTCTAGTAGTTAATGTCGCATTAAGGGCCTGGCTGCACTTTTACCTGGTTAGGAAAACTTAATACTGAATCGTTTATGTCGTATACGGACAATAATGATGTATTTCAAGAGAATTTGAGTACTTTTAATAAAGCTTTTTAGTTAATTGGACGGGAAATATGCTTCACAGAGCTGCTGTTATCTGTACAACCCAATGGGGGGCGCTGCAGTCCAGCGGGTCGTCATTAAAACAACTGACGGAGATTAAAAACACATTATTTAGTTGTGTAAATTACATTGCACAGATAACACATAATATTAACGTAGCTGGAGAATTATTTTGGAGTTGGAGTCAACCAGAAATGTTTTAAATTGACCAATAAAAGCTGAGAAAATGCAGTTTAATACAACAATACTGTACTAAAAACCGGCTGGATGAAGGTTATAATGTTCGGTTAGTGTTGAAACAGTTTTAGAGAGGTGATTATTCAACTGTATGATCATTTTAGAGGCTGCAGTTTGTGTTGCTGTTGAACTTTATTGTGAAAATCCTGATTCACTCCAGACCAGCAGGTGGCAGTAACAGGACGGCCCCGTTGCCCGGGAGACAAAGAAACAGGAAGTGGTTGTAAAGTGTGGGAGAAAAAGTGTTTTTAGTGTTTTTAGTGTTTTTAGTTGTTTTTTTCTGGATTGTAAATGTGGATCAAACAGCCTCTGATTGCAGTTTGATTCAGCTTTGTCTCACTTGAACTTGTTGTTGGACTGTTGTTCATTTGTTGGAGGTAAAATAGAAACAAACTGCTGATTTCAGGTTAGCTGTTGATGTGGGGATACAGCATTGCATTGTGGGAAATATAACCATTATATATCAAGTAAAATCTAAATAATCTTTATCAGTTTTAGTTGAAAACTGTATCTTCTGTATTCTGTTCTGCAGTTTCACTCACCTTCTACATCCTCTGGTTTCAGTAATATATCGATTATTAGCACCATCAGTTAACACGGTGTGTCTGTGAGAGAGCTCCCTGTCTCTGAGCTGGACAACTCATACTTACCTGGCAGGGGAGATACCATGATCAAGAAGGTGGTTCACCTTGGGCGAGGCCTGACCATTGCACTCCGGTTGGGTTGACCTTAACGAATTCCCCAAATGTGGGAATCTCGACTGCATAATTTGTGGTAGTGGGGGACTGCGTTCGCGCTGACCCCTGATATACATGTTGAAAAGAAATCATTTATAAACCTTTAGACTCACACAGACTTTATTTATCATTTGGATTTGCATCAGAATGAAATTACGTTGCAGTGGCACATAGCACAACAGGATTAAAGGAGAGGCAGTATGCACAGGCTAAAATACAGATACGCAAATATAATACTTTTGTATATTTTTTATTTTTTATGAGACAGAAAGTGCTCATAATCAATCAATGATCAAACTGATCACTATAAATTACAATCAATCAACACGACCAACTCTTATTTCTTACCTTGTTGTTCCAGCTTCCAAAAAATATGATAAAAGTTAAAATCTTATAGTTGTTCTTTTGCTGGGACCCCTACAGTCCACTCAAGCCCCTGACTGACACTAACCACTGACACTATTAAACAACACACACAGTGCTGACCCACTCAGGTTCCTGCACAGGAGATCCAGTTCACATTAAATGACTGACTGCTTGAACCAACAGCGACTCTGAGTAAGACAATGTGTTGTTTTATATCGTTTGTTTACTGTAAACACTCCTCAATGGTCAACAACATCAAAGCTTTATTCTGTCGTCTAATGACAGCTTGTATATATACTGCCACCACCGATAATGCACAGTTTATTCTGATTTAAAACCTTTATAAAACTCCCATTCCTTTCACCAACCAGGTGTAAAGGGTTCAATGTAGTTCATATGGTGGAAGTCGAGTTTAAATAATGACCTTATTCTCCTTACAAATTCATTAGTTGAAGAGTTGAGTTCTGTGGGCTGAAGATGACACAAGCTGCCACTCATACAAATTATATTTATTATATGTATTTATTATTTTGATAAATACAGATTACAGATAAAGTCACAAACAGTTCAGAGCAGATCGATCGAGTCTCCACCCGAACATGGAGCAGTTTGTAAATAAAAGTTAATTACATTATATTAATATTATAAACACATGTATATGTAAGTTAGGTATTCAACAAAACCCACATTTAATAAAAAGAATAATTAATAAATAACAGTTTCCCTCCGTCACTTCAGAGCCAATCACAGCGCGAGTTAGTGAGACAACAGCACCGTCAGTCAGTGTGGTGTGTCTGTGAGAGAGCTCCCTGTCTCTGAGCTGGACAACTCATACTTACCTGACAGAGGAGATACCGTGATCAAGAAGGTGGCTCACCTTGGGCGAGGCCTGACCATTGCACTCCGGTTGGGTTGACTTTAACTGGCGGGCTAGTGGACTGTGCAGTATGGACAGCAGCAGCAGCCTGTTTAGAGCAGACAGTGGATGCAGGCAGTTTAGTCTGAACAGGGGTCTTGAGCAAGTCTAAAAAATGAGACCAAACAAAGTAGTATTATTTCTGTTGTGAATTTTTTTTCCCCAAACCATTTGATGTGTTTTAACTCTGTATCTCACCTTCCACAGCCTGACTTGCAGCCACCAGTTCAGCTTCATCACCTGGCCATGATGAAGGATCACACTTGGAGGTGCTGGCATGCAGTTGCTGGAATAAAAAAGATAAATTGATTATCTAGACTCTTTCATGACTAAATGCTTGTCTGAGGATTAGGGCTTCCTCATCCAGTACATCCTCCAACAAAGGGCAAGCCATTATGAAGAGGGAACAGGTGTGAATAATATATATGTACATATATATATATATATATATATATATATATATATATATATACAGTGGCTACGGAAAGTATTCAGACCCCTTTAAAATTTTTCACTCTTTGTTTCATTGCAGCCATTTGCTAAAATCAAAAAAGTTCATTTTATTTCTCATTAATGTACACTGAATGAAGTTGCAAAGGTGTTTTCAATTAAATCTGTGACAAGGGCAATATAGTATATATATTATGGCATACCGTTTAAGAAATTAGTCTTTGAATATATAAAATGAATCTTTGAATATATGGAATGAAACTTGACTGGTCATCAAGGCACTGCTGCCATCTTGTAGAAGTGAGAATGAGTCAGTCAGGAACCTTGTGGCAGCAATACTGATCAATGAGGACATTATTAACTCATTGGTAAGTGCTTGTAGGGGCCAAAATCCTCTCGATAGTACCCGTGCCCAATACCGTTCTCCTGACGAAGAAGTTCACTCCCTTTTTAATGGTGGCAGGCCGATTACAACAGGCCTCAGGCTAAATCCTGACAGAAAAAGCAAAAAAGTTTTCCAGTTTAAGAAAGTATTGTAATATTTCAACTGATGCCATTTTGTAAAAGCAGCTAATTCAGAAGGCTATCACTTTGATGAAAAGGATACAACTAGGTTTGGATTTCATTCAGTATTCTCACATTTTTATCAGTATATCCAAGATTCATTCAATATATCCAAGATTCATTTTATATATTCAAAGATTCATTTTATATATTCAAAGATTTATTCCATATATTCAAGGTTAATTTCCTAAACGGCATGCCATAATATATATATATATACAGTGGGTACGGAAAGTATTCAGACCCCTTTAAATGTTTCACTTTGTTTCATTGCAGCCATTTGCTAAAATCAAAAAAGTTCATTTTATTTCTCATTAATGTACACTCAGCACCCCATCTTGACAGAAAAAAACAGAAATGTAGAAATTTTTGCAAATTTATTAAAAAAGAAAAACTGAAATATCACATGGTCATAAGTATTCAGACCCTTTGCTGTGACACTCATATTTAACTCACATGCTGTCCATTTCTTCTGATCCTCCTTGAGATTGTCCTGCTCCTTCATTGGAGTCTAGCTGTGTTTAATTAAACTGATTGGACTTGATTAGGAAAGGCACACACCTGTCTATATAAGACCTTACAGCTCACAGTGCATGTCAGAGCAAATGAGAATCATGAGGTCGAAGGAACTGCCCAAGGAGCTCAGAGACAGAACTGTGGCAAGGCACAGATCTGGCCAAGGTTACAAAAGAATTTCTGCAGCACTCAAGGTTCCTAAGAGCACCAGTAATCCAGCCTTGAAGTAACAAATGCATGGATTAGTTTTTCTGCATCTGTCTGTGATAGGATGTGTCTAATTTTTCTAATATTACGTAAATGAAAGAAGGCAGTCCTAGAGGTCTGCTTTATGTGGGAGTTAAATGACAAATCCTGATCAAAGATAACTCCAAGATTCCTGACAGTGGTGCTAGAGGCCAAGTTAATGCCATCTAGAGTGACTATATCTTTAGACAATGAGTCTCTAAGGTTTTTGGGAAAAAGAAAATTCATACATCAGGAAATTGCAGGTCATCCAGGATTTTATGTCCGTAAGACATGTTTTGTAATTTAGATAATTGATTAATTTCATTGGGTTTGATTGATAGATATAACTGCGTATCATCTGCATAACAGTGAAAGTTAATGGAGTGATTCCTAATAATGTTGCCTAAAGGGAGCATATATAAAGTAAATAGTATTGGTCCAAGTACAGAACCTTGTGGAACTCCATGACTAACTGTAGTATTTATTGAAGATTCATCGTTAACATGTACAAACTGCGAGCGATCTGATAAATATGACTTAAACCAGCTTAGTGCGGTTCCTTTAATGCCAATTTGATGCTCAAGTCTCTGTAAAAGAATATTATGGTCAATGGTGTCAAATGCAGCACTAAGATCTAATAATACAAGTACAGAGACAAGTCCATTGTCAGAAGCAGTCAGAAGGTCATTATTAACTTTAACCAGAGCTGTCTCTGTGCTATGATGAACTCTAAATCCTGACTGAAAATCCTCAAATAAACTATTGTTATGTAGAAAGTCACACAACTCTTTGGCGACTACTTTCTCCAGAATCTTAGAGAGGAACGGGAGGTTAGAAATCGGTCTCTAGTTGGCTAAAACCCCTGGGTCAAGAGTGGACTTTTTAAGAAGGGGTTTAATTACAGCTACTTTAAAGGACTGTGGTACATATCCTGATAATAAAGAAAGATTAATCATATCCAGTAAAGAAGTGCCAATTAAGGGAACAACTTCTTTAAGCAGCCTAGTTGGGATCGGGTCTAACAGACAGGTTGATGACTTCGATGAAGAAATGATTGAAGTTAACTGATGAAGATCGATAGCAGAAAAACAGTCTAAATATATATCTAAGTTTACATTGACAGAAGTCCCTGAACTTGGAGAGCCACTGATAACTGTTGATGGCAGTTGGTGATTAATTTTCTCTCTAATAGTAATAATTTCATTATAGAAGAAGCTCATGAAGTCATTGCTACTTAAGTTTATGGGGATATGTGGCTCAATAGAGCTGTGACTCTCTGTCAGCCTGGCTACAGTGCTGAAGAGGAACCTAGGGTTGTTCTTATTTTCTTCTATTAGTGCTGAATAATATGCTCCTCTGGCACTACGGAGGGCCTTTCTATAAATTTTAAGATTATCTTGCCAATTTGAGCGATATTCTGATAATTTGGAAGAGCGCCATTTCCTTTCAGATTTCCTAGCTATTTGTTTTAACTGGCGGGTTTGGTGGTTATACCAAGGTGCTAGTCTCCTATGTTTTAATAATTTCCTTTTTATAGGAGCGATAGAGTCTAATGTTGATCGTAGTGAGCCTGTAGCACTATCGACAAGATTATCAATTTCAGAGGGACTAAAGTCGTTATAGGACTCTGTTAAATTCAGACATGGCATTGAATTAAACACTGAAGGAATCTCCTCCTTAAATTTAGCTACAGCACTGTCAGATAGACATCTGCTGTAGGAAGTTTTGCCTAATGGCTTATAATCTAACAACATGAATTCAAAAGTTATTAAATAATGGTCAGATAGGAAAGGATTATGTGGGAAGACTGTTAAATGTTCAATATCAATGCCATATGATAAAACAAGGTCAAGAGTGTGATTAAAACAATGAGTTGGTTTATTTACACTCTGACAGAAGCCAATTGAGTCTATTAATGATATAAATGCATTACTAAGGCTGTCATTGTCAACATCCACATGAATATTAAAATCACCTACAATAATTTATCTGATTTAAGGACTAAACTTGATAGAAACTCTGAAAATTCAGATATAAAATCAGAGTATCGTCCAGGAGCGCGGTACACTATAACAAATAGAACTGGCTGCAGTGTTTTCCAGTTTGGGTGAGAAAGACTAAGAACAAGGCTTTCAAATGAATTATAATTTAGTTTAGGTTTAGGGTCCATTAAAACGCTCGAATCATATATGGCTGCCACTCCACCTCCTCGGCCTGTGCCTCGAGGAATGTGAGTATTAATATGACTGGGGGGGGTGGATTCATTTAGGCTAACATACTCCTCGTGGGACAACCAGGTCTCAGTAAGACAAAGTACATCAATATCATAATCTGATATTAATTCATTCACTAAAACAGCTTTAGAGGACAGAGACCTGATATTTAACAGCCCACATTTCATTCTCTTATTTTGTGCTACTGAGGAGTTAGTTTTAATTTTTATTAGGTTTTTGTGTTGAACTCCTCTTGTTTTTATTTCTTTAAATAATTTAGGTGGTCGGGGGACAGACACAGTCTCTATGGGGTTTTGGGTGGGTGACTGTTCTAAAGAAAGCTCAGAGAAGTGTGTAAGACAGCAGCTCTGCTTCCTGGTCCCAACTCTGGACTGTCAGGTTTTAGAAATAAACTTCGCCATATTTCTAGATAAGAGAGCCGCTCCATCCAAAGTGGGATGGATGCCGTCTCTCCTAATCAGACCAGGTTTTCCCCAAAAAGGCTTCCAGTTTATGAGAAATAAGATTCTCTGGTCTGATGAGACCAAGATTGAACTTTTTGGCGTTAATTCTAAGCGGTATGTGTGGAGAAAACCAGGCACTGCTCATCACCTGCCCAATACAATCCCAACAGTGAAACATGGTGGTGGCAGCATCAGGCTATGGGGATGTGTTTCAGCTGCAGGGACAGGACGACTGGTTGCAATTGAAGGAAAGATGAATGCGGCCAAGTACAGAGATATCCTGGAAGAAAACCTCTTCCAGAGTGCTCAGGACCTCAGACTGGGCCGAAGGTTTACCTTCCAACAAGACAATAACCCTAAGCACACAGCTAAAATAACAAAGGAGTGGCTTCGGAACAACTCTGTGACCATTCTTGACTGGCCCAGCCAGAGCCCTGACCTAAACCCAATTGAGCATCTCTGGAGAGATCTGAAAATGGCTGTCCACCAACGTTCACCATCCAACCTGACAGAACTGGAGAGGATCTGCAAGGAAGAATGGCAGAGGATCCCCAAATCCAGGTGTGAAAAACCTGTTGCATCATTCCCAAGAAGACTCATGGCTGTAGTAGCTCAAAAGGGTGCTTCTACTCAATACTGAGCAAAGGCTCTGAATACTTATGACCATGTGATATTTCAGGTTTTCTTTTTTAATAAATTTGCAAAAAATTCTACATTTCTGTTTTTTTCTGTCAAGATGGGGTGCTGAGTGTACATTAATGAGAAATAAAATAAATGTTTTTGATTTTAGCAAATGGCTGCAATGAAACAAAGTGAAACATTTAAAGGGGTCTGAATACTTTCCGTACCCACTGTATATATATATATATTATGGCATGCCGTTTAGGAAATTAACCTTGAATATATGGAATAAATCTTTGAATATATAAAATGAATCTTTGAATATATAAAATGAATCTTTGAATATATAAAATGAATCTTTGAATATATGGAATGAATCTTGGATATACTAATAAAAATGTGAGAATACTGAATGAAATTCAAAACCTAGTTGTATCCTTTTCATCAAAGTGATAGCCTTCTGAATGAGCTGCTTTTACAAAATGGCATCAGTTGAAATATTACAATACTTTCTTAAACTGGAAAACTTTTTTGCTTTTCCTGTCAGGATTTAGCCTGAGGCCTGTTGTAGTCGGCCTGCCACCATTAAAAAGGGAGTGAACTTCTTCGTCAGGAGAACGGTTTTGGGCACGGGTACTATCGAGAGGATTTTGGCCCCTACAAGCACTTACCAATGAGTTAATAATGTCCTCATTGATCAGTATTGCTGCCACAAGGTTCCTGACTGACTCATTCTCACTTCTACAAGATGACAGCAGTGCCTTGATGACCAGTCAAGTTTCATTCTATATATTCAAAGATTAATTTTATATATTCAAAGATTATTCTCTTAAACGGTATGCCATAATATATATACTATTTTGCCCTTGTCACAGATTTCATTGAAAACACCTTTGCAACTTCATCAGCTGTGTTTTGTAATCTCAATTACTGCAATAAAACATATTTATGCAGTTTGACAAGCAGTCTTCATTAGCATGGCAATATAACACTTGTCCTGAGTAATAATACTTCCACTTGAATCAATATAAAAAGACTGTTGCAATTACAAACAGCCAACAGATTTAAATGAAATAAGAAATGTAATATATATGTAATATTTGAATGCAGGATAATTAAAATGATGCAACATACTTAGAAAGACCTTGGACATGCTGTAAAACACATTAATTCCTCACAGGACTGACGG